TTCTATGCTCCAAGCACCCCACCTCCCAAATAATTTTTATCCCACTTGTAAATTGGGAGCTGCTTTTATTTCTTTCCCAATTTTAAATTTTCTAATTTAAATGGTTTTTACTGATGATGTGACTATGTACTGGGAAATTAAACTTACTCAAATAATAGAAGACTTCAGTAATTAGTCGGACATAAATTACCATACAGAATTACTACACCATCAATAGCCTTCATGTCCACAAATAATAACCAGTTATAAGTTACAATGATAGAGAAAGCCCCATTCTATAGCAAACGTGAAAATAAAATATTTAGGAATAAATTTAACAAGAAAAGCACAAAACTGACAAGAAGAAAATTTTAAAACACTTCTAAAAGTTGCAAAAATAAAGTTTAATTTAAAAAAAAGACACCCCTTGTTATTAGATATGACAACTTATTATCATTAAGGATTTTGGTTCTGCTCAAATTAATTTATACATTTAATTCAATTTCAATAAAAATCATAACAAACCTTCTAATGGAACTAAATATGTTGCTATGAAAATTCATATGAAAAATAAATATGCAGAAATACCCGGGAAAATACTAAAAGTAAAAAGTAAAGCTGCTAGGACTGAGACACATTGGCGCCATGAATAAACAGATAGGGAAGTGGATGGAACTGAATGCCCAGAAATAGACCCCAGTAAATGTGGAAATTAAGAACATGGTAAGGATCTCATATCCTTGGGGGCAAAGATGGACTTCCCTATGGATGGTGCTGAAATAACTGTGTAAATATTTGGGAAAAGAAAATTAGATCCACATTTCATATCATACACAAAAAATAAATGCCCATGGATCAGAGATCTAAATGTAACTGGAACCATACAAATAGGTGCACTAGAAGAATACACGGGCAAATCTTGCTTTCCATGTGGTATAAGAATAGCCTGTGACTTAAAATCCACATGTATTAAATATTGATAAATTTGTCTGGCATTAAAAAAAGTATGCATATTAAAAACACTGATGTGACAACTGACAAACTGGAAGAAAACATTTGTGATACACATCACAATTAAAGGGGTAACTTCTCTAATAAATGAAGAACTCAAAATTAAAGTGGGAAAAGACAAAAAAATTCATCAAGAATGACATAATTACAAAAATGATGTAAAAAAGGCCCTTCATGGGGGCAGTGCCTGTGGCTCAAGGAGTAGGGTGCTGGCCCCATATACTGGAGGGGGCTGGTTCAAACTCAGCCCCCAGCCAAAAACAGCAAAAAAAAAAAAAAAAAGCCCTTCATAACATTGCGAAAGATGTTTAGCTTTATTCATAATAAGAAAAATGCAAAAAGAAAAAACTGTATCACTTCTCATGTCAGATTGGCAAAAAATTTAAACTTTTAAAAAAACGTTAAATAAACTTTTTAGAAAAGACTATATTTTTAGAGCAGTTTTAGGTTCACAGCAAAATTAAGAGGAAGGTAGAGATTTCCCACATGTTCTCAGTTCTCACATGTGCATTGTCTCTCTCATTATCAATATATCCCTTGTAACTGATGAACCTACATTGACACATAATCACCTGAAGTCCGGTTTACTTCAGGGGTCATGCTTAAGCGATTCTCTTGCCTCAGCCTTCCAAGTAGCTGTGACTACCAGCGCCCACCACAAAGCCTGGCTATTTTTTGATTGTAGTTGTCGTTGTTTGGCAGGCCTGGGCTGGATTCGAACCCACCAGCTCTGATGTATGTAGCTGGCAACTTAGCGGCTTGAGCTACAGGTGCCGAGCCAGGGTTCATTCTTGGTGCTGTACATCCTTGGATAGGTTTGAACTAATGTGTAACGACAGGTTATCCCCTACTGTAGTATCATAAAGGAGTTTCATTGCCCTAAAAATCCTCTATGCCCATTTATCCCTCCTCTCCAGCCCACCTCTACTCATATACCTAAACCTTTGGCAACCAGTGACCTTCTTCACTATCTCCATTGTTTTGTCTTTTGCAGAATGTCATATAGTTTTAATGATACAGTATGTAGCCTTTTCAGATTGGCTTCTATCGCTAGAAATATGCATTAAAGATGCCACAGAATCTTTTCATGGCCTGATAGCTCATTTCTTTGCTGAATAACATTTTATCATCTGGATGTACCACATTTTTTATCCTTTCACCCACTGATAGATATCTTGGTTGCTTCCAACTTGTGGCAACTATGAATAAAGCTGCAATAAACATTGGTCTGTAGGGTTTTGTATGAGTATTAGTTTCCTGCTCTTTTGGGTAAATACCAAGGAGCATGATTACTGGATTGTAGGGCAAAAGTACATTTAGTTTTATAAGACATTGCCAAACTGTCTTGAATATAGTACTTTTCAGTTGCTAATGACAATGAAAATTGGTACAATCTATACCTATATGGAAGAGGGGGAAATAGAACTGAACGTATTCACTGTGAACTCATGGTTATATATGTGTATGTGTAGATATAGTATGTGAATGTGTATATATAAACTTACATATGTAGGTATATACATATATCTAATTTCTATCTTTTTCTTGTTAGAAGCAATGACAGCCCAGGAGCAGGGAGCACACAGCATACTAGACCTTGGTTTCTAAATACCATGTGGCACTAAAAAGAATTAGAATTTCTTCAAGAAATGCCTCCTTCTAGGGATGGAGAAGAAAAAATACAAGATGATCCTAGAAAATCTCATTGTACCAAAAAGTAAGTAAATGCTCAAAAATTAAAGAGGACACCAAAAGGATATGAGTCAGATTGCAGGGGCTCCCACTGGCCAAACCAGAGAAAGATTTCAGGGTGGAAATAATTATAGCGAAGGGCTATAGCATATTGATTAATATAGGAATCCATGGCTTCATGGTGAAATAAATAAATAAGGGAGAAGAGGAATTCTTCCCTATGAAAGAAAGGCAACTGATAAGTATAGAAGAAATGACAGAAAATTACCATTTGGAAGCCATCCTAATTATAACTGAGGCAAAAAAGCAAGATTCTAAAACTAGTAAGTAAAAGTTTGAGGAATAATAGGAATTTACATATTCTCAAATCTCTCTTAATCACAAGGGTAAAACTTACAGTGGAGAAATGACCTAAATGAAGTTATCAAATAAGAGAGCAAATCAACATCATGTTCCTCTAACAGGAAGCAAGGAGAAGCTGGCCCTATCACATTTGTAATATTCCTGTAAAAACCCATAACCTGAATTTAATTATGAGGAAACTTCAAAAAAACTCCAATGAAGAGATTTTACAAAATAACTAACCTGTCCTGCACATCAGAGGTGTTTGATTCATAGATGAAAAATAAATTAACTCTTCCAGGGCCAAGCATGGTGGCATGTGGCTATAATCTCACCTACTCTGGAGGCTGAGGCAGGAGAATCAGTTGAGCTCAAAGGTGGAGGTTGTATTGAACTAAATTAGCAATTTAAGTCTTTCACTTGCACACTTCCAGAGCCTTATTAGCATACCTTTACTTCTTAAAAACACAGGACATATATGAGATGGGCTCCATGCAACTTCAGCTAGTGTCAGGAGCAGTTGGTTAAAGGAAGAATTGTTCCTGGAGCTCAGAAGCCATTGCTTGGGCAAAACAATTTTTATCAAGAAGGTTAGGGAGGAACAGTTATGGGAGCATGAGATGTAGGCCATAAAAGGACCACAGCAGAAATTCAATCCTTTCAGATGTCTTACCGGGGAAGGCTAAAATTTCAAAATGCTTAAATTATAACTATTTTCTGCTAAATTTCATTCTCTCTCTAGTCTAGAAAAGTGGATATAACAATCTAATCATGTAAATAAAAAAATTATATGCAAAAGGGAAACATTTCATGTGTCAAAAGGATAACTCTCAAAAGGAAAGGTTAAATCATGACCCTCATACAAACATAAAAGTGATTAAGATTTTATTTAAGGAATTCATTAATGAGGAAACCAGGAAGAAACTGGTAAAACCAGTTCAAAAGACAATCTAAAGATGTTAGGAATACTAAAATAAATGTGGAAGTGGAGGCCAAACTATTTTTTCTTTGGTGTGATGGTGGTGAAAGGGGTGGGTTGTCACTTCCTTGGATAGAGTTCACTTGCATATGTATAAACAAGAATTATTTTCCATTGTTATCATTTATCTACAACTTATAAAGTTGTAAAATAACCCCCTTGCAATCACATTCAGTCTGAAAGGATGTGTTATCCAGGCAATGCGAAAACTTTTCCCCTACACCTAATCTGGCTCCAGACATAGAATAGACAGAAAGTCTTGGCTGGCAACAGGAATACACTGGTCATAAGGCTAACTTCCCAAATTCAGTGAGCACGTGGTTAAGGAAATTATTTCCCTCCACCCGCAGATATTTAAACTTTGATATTGTACTTAATTGATACACTGCTTGGTCAGGGAACCAACTCTGAATGGGCTCACACCTGGTTAAGTGGACGAGCTATTCAATGCCCACACTTCAAAACAACCAAGGCCACCTGCAAGTAGACCCGCACCTTCAAAAACACATGAGACAGTCCGATTGTGTATTTGGCTCCTGTTTGCTAGTGGCTAGCTAGTGGTTTCATGGGGGTACACTTTTCATAAATTAATCCGAAATGCCTGCATCCGAATGGTGCCTAGACCTGCACCTCTTCGCTGTCCTGCCACAGGTCTCAGTCTAGGCTCTGGTGCTAAAAGCTAGTCAAAACACCCAGGATTCAGCACCTGGAGTCAGAGTCTCAACCATTTACAAGCTTTTTTCTTCTGAAAAAATGAGCACTAATTACAATGCCTAGCGGCCAGGGCTGTTGCAAGATTTACAAGAGATAAGGGCTGTGAAGATGCTTAGTAAACTGTGAAGCGTTATTAAAGAGAACACATGTCTTTTAGGATGCTACAGTGCAAAGTACATCGCTGGGCCTTGGTCCGTTTCAAGCGTCGGCCGAGTTTCCACGCTGCCGGGCAGCTGGGTCCAAGGCTCGGCCTCTGCTGGCTCCTCCCCCACCGCAGCCCGGGTTGGAGGCGGTGGGGGTGCTAGCGCCGGGCCTCACCAGCCTACGGCCCGCTGGGGGTGCAGTCCCGCGGCGGGGCGGGGCAGGCCCTCCTCAGTTCCTGCTTCTATCAGCGGTGCCCGGGGCCGGTGGCGCCACAAGCGCCTGGACGGCGGGCGAATGAGGATGGGCCCGCGCGACGCGGCGAGCCTGCCCGGAGGCCCCAGCTCCGCGGGGCCGCTCCTCCCCGCCGTCCTCCCGCTATTACTGCAGCTGCTGCTACTGCCAGGCTCGGGGGCCGGCCGGCCGCCCCACCTGGTCTTTGTGCTGGCGGACGACCTGGGCTGGAATGACGTGGGCTTCCACGGCTCCTCCATCCGCACCCCGCACCTGGACGCGCTGGCGGCCGGCGGCGTGCTCCTGGACAACTACTACACGCAGCCGCTGTGCACGCCGTCGCGGAGCCAGCTGCTCACTGGCCGCTACCAGGTACGCCGCGGCCCACCGGGCGCCAGACCTCGGGCGCGGGCGAACGAGCTCGATCCCCGCATCCCGGTCCAAGCCCGGCGCCTACCGCTTCTGGCGGTGAAGTGCCGGGTCGTCGCAGGCCGGCTGCTCTCCTTCGCCTCTGCGCATGTCCGGCCCCTGGCGCCCCGCCTCTCCGGGCGTCCAGCGTGGTTTTCTGACTTTCGTTCCTTAACGCGGGACGAAAGGGTTTCTGGGAGTGCCAGGTGCCGGGCCGGCGGGCAGCGGCCAGGGGGTCGACGCGCTCGGAGGGGCGCCCTGCAGCGCGCATGTGCGGGCTTGGGCCTGGCGACCCGCGCGGAGCAGAAACAAAAGGGAGAATTCAAGTGAAAGAGCGCCCGCAGCGGGTGAGACTCTGGTCCTCTCTGAACTAGGGGTCAGTGACTAGAACTGTCAGAATTAAGGTAATTTTTCCTGGTTCTCAGTACCCCTTCAAGGAAACCTACTTACCTTGGGTTTTCTTGGGCTGCTGACATCCCTTTCAGATTTAAACTTGTATTGAACTCCTCTAAGCACCTTCATTCTCTCTTTAAAAGCTTCTCTTTAGAGACAGCTCTGTAGTTAGAGAAATTATACGAGTGCAGAGATGTTAGATGACTAATAATGAAACATTTACACGTTTTACTGTTTTCAGTTGTTGAAACAGCCCGTGAGGTAGTTATTATCTTTAACCCCCGTTTACAGATGAGGAAGTAAGGCTGCATTGGTTCTACAACATGTCAGGAATCACGAAGCAAGAAAGTCCTGCATCCGTTAGACACCTCAGGCCTGTAAAACTGGAGTAAAGGGATGTCCCAGGAAAGAAAGAAAAAGAGAGGAGGCAAGGTCTGCTGCAAAGGGTTTTGCGTTTGCTCTGAAGAGAACTGAACTCAAATTGCAAAAGAATTAAAGAGCCATTCATTTCTCCAACTTCCACCCTTACCAGTAGACTTGAACAGGAAAGCAAATACCAACTTCAAAAACCTGTTCCTGTAATTGGTTGCTTTTGTCCCCTAAAACTTTCCCCCTACCAATCTTGGAGGGAAAAAAGAATCGAGTATTTAGAGTACTCCTTAATAAATAAAGGGAGAGTGGAGGCTAGCTACTCCCAAATGGTTTAGAGACGTCTCAATGTCACTGACTCAAAGCAGGCTAGCCTCCGAAATATGTTTCACAGCTTTTTTTACTCACTTTATTTTGTTAGAGTTGAGGAGACCCCATTAGAAATTTGAGTTAGCAGGCATTTTCTTTTAAAGGGGTAAATATTTCAGAGAGGGCTAAGGAGCTTCATGGCCTTCAGATGCTAAATGCTGGTATTGTTATGAGCTCATTTCATTCTCACGATGACCCTATGAAATAGGTACTACTATTCATCACTCCCTTTTTTTTTTTTTTTTACAAGGAAACAGGCTGGAAGAGGTTAAGAAACTCACCAAGGTCACAGGACTTGTAAATCGTGGACCAGGATTTGACCCAGGCATTGTAGCTCTGGTCCTTATACCCACTAACCCACATTGGGAACCCAGAATTATTAAGAATATTGCAACAGCTGCTTCTCATATACTGAATTATTCCCTATTATTTGTGGCTATTTAGGTCATTCCTAAACATCTCAATTTTAAAAAATCAACCCACCATATTTCTAAGCTGGGGAATTGCCTATATCATGTGTAAAATAAAAAATAGATTTTATTTCTGAGTTGTTTGTTGTGCGTAATTTTAAACAATAAAATGAAGAAATGTTTCGACTATTTCAAAATTAGGTTCTTCAAAGAACTAAAGTGTCGGATCTGTAAACTTGGCAGTCATGCTTTCAGTTCATTTTTAGAGTGTTCTTTCCCCTGATTATCTAACTTTGGATGAGAGAAGAAAAGCACAAAGTGCTAAACAAGCCTACACTGATGGGACTTTGTGGTCTCATGAAATGCTGAGTTTTGGGGGTTTTTTTGGTTTATAAAAGTATGTATTAAGTAAAGAGGATTGGTTAGGAATTATGAGATGTAGATACCAGTCTTGGCTACATCCGACTCTGACCTCACTGGACATCATCTTCTCATCTGTAAAATAGAGGAGTTGGGCTGAGTTTAGGCTCTTTGTAGCTCTGAATTTCTTTTGACTCTAAGGCTCTTGTGTCCATTTGGGCAAGTTTCAAACTTGGCCAATGCGTATTACTATCCCTATTAACCCCATTTATTAGTAGAAAAAGAAATTAATCTTGACTAACATAATGTGCCTTATAAATTGCATCACCTACTACTTGTTTTGCTGCTGGAAGCTTATTTAAATAGGAATAAATTTTGCCCTTCGAATTTGTCTATTATGAATAATTCTGTTGTGAATATCCGTGTACAAGTTTTTGTATGAACATATATTATTTTTTTCAATTCTCTTGGGTCAGTACCTAGGAGTGGAATACCAGATCATATGGTAACTCTAAATTTTACTTTCTTTCTTTTTTTTTTTTTTGAGACAGAGTCTCACTCTGTTGCCCCGGGCTGGAGTGCTGTGGTGTCATAGCTCACAACAGTCTCAAACTCTTGAGTTCAGGTGATTCTCCTGCCTCAGCCTCCCAAGCAGCTGGGATTACAGGTGCCTGCCATGACACTCAGATAGTTTTTCTATTTTAAGTAGAGTTGGGGTCTCATTCTTGCTTAAGCTGGTCTCTAACTCCTGAGCTCAAGCCATCCACTACCTCGGCCTCCCAGAGTGCCATCTCTCCCAGCCTATATTTAACTTTTTGAGGAACTACCAACTGTTCTTCTGATGCAGCCGCACCATTTTTCATTTCCATTGGAAATGTATGTGGTAGTTAGTTTATGTACATCCTTGCCAACACTTGCCATTATCTGTGTTTTAAATTATGTGCCTTCTGGTCATCTGAGTGGTTATGAAGTGGTATCTCATTGAGGTTTTGATTTGCATTTCCCTAATGACTAATGATGTTGATCTTTTTATGTATTGTTGGCTATCTCTATATCTTCTCTGGAGAAATATCCAGATCCTTTGCTTATTTTTTAATAGCATTATTTATCTTTTTATTCTTGAGTTGTAAGAGTACTTTATTTGTTCTGGATACTAAACCCTTATCAGATAAATGATTTTGAAATATTTTCTTCCATTCTGTGGGTTGCTTTTTATTTCCTTTGATGCACAACAAAAATTGTAATTTTTTTTTTCCTGAGACAGAGTTTCACTGTGTCACCCTCAGTAAAGTGTCATGGTGTCACAGCTAACAATAATCTTAAACTCTTGGGCTTAGGTGATTCTCTTGCTTCGGCCTCCCAAGTAGCTGGGACTAAAGACACCCACCACAATGCTCAGCTATTTTTCTGTTGTAGTTGTCATTGTTTAGCAGGCTCCAGCCGGGTTCTAACCCACCAGCCTTGGTGTGTGTGGCCAGCGTCCTAACCACTGAGCTATGAGCACTGAACCAAGACCTGCTTTCTTAATTGCATTTTTAATTGTTCATTGCTATTGTATAGAAGTGTAGCTGATACATATCTACTGATCATTTTCCAATCTTTCTGAATTATTAGTTCTAAGAGTTTGTGTGTGTGTAATTGTTAGGGTTTTCTATATACAAAATTATGTCACCTTCCAACAGAAATAATTTAACTTCTTCCTGTCTAATCTGGACACCTTTTATTTCACTTTCTTGCCTAATTGTCCTGGCTAGGACCTGCAGTGCAATGTTGAATAGAAGTAGCAAGAGTGGACTTACTGTCTCGTTCCTGATTTTAGAGGGAAAGCTTTCAGTCTATAACCATTAAGTGTGATGTATTCTGTCCTTCAATAAATGTTTATTGAATAACTAGTTATGCCAGTGTACTCTGGGGATGTCCTAATGCTTATAGCCTGGTGGGGCAGTATAAGAGGAAGGAGTGAACAGGAGTAGAGTGAAATAAATACAAACAAATAAGTAAGTAAGGTGAATTTAAATGGTATGACAATAAATGTGGGGAAGAAAATAAAGTAATATGTAGTGACTTAGGCGTGAATGAAGAGGAATCAGCTGTACAAAGATCCTGGGAAAGAGAGTTGAACTTGGAGGGAGGAGCAAGAGAAGCAAAATCCCTGAGGATGGAGTGAGTTTGTTCTAAGAATGGGTCAGTGCTGAGTGAATGAGGGTGCCGAGGCAGGCAAGCTCCAGGGCAGACCTGGGTCTACATGGGTCTGTGAATATCCATATTCATGGATTGAATGGGGAAATGCTGCCTACTCCTGGGGAAATGTAAAGACTTCAACTCTTTTTTTTGTTTCTGTTTTCATAGTAATATTACATTGAAGGTTATTATTTACTAAAGCAGCAATCCCCAATCTTTTTGGTACCAGAGTCTAATTTCATGGAACATGGTTTCTCCATGGACCAGGGCAGGGGGGATGGCTTTTATATGAGTCTGCGAGGAATTGATCCATGTACTATGGTTTCTGTGCCGTCAAACTTCTCTGCTACTGTTAATCTGTATTTGTAGTCACTCCCCAGCACCGGCTTCGCCACTTCAGCTCCACCTCAGATCATCAGGCTTTAGATTCTCATAAGGAGAGGGCAACCTAGATCCTTCTTGTGCACAATTAACAGCAAGGTTTGGACTCCTGTGAGATTCTCATGCTGCCACTGATCTGACAGGAGGTTGAGCTCAGAGAGGGATGCAAATGATGGGGAGCTATAAATAGAGATGAAGATGCTGCCACTCACCTCCTGCTGTGCAGCCCAGTTCCTAAGAATATGGGCTGTAGTACTGGGCTGCGGCCTGGGGATTCTGAACCACAATAATAAAGAATGTTTCCAATCTAACAGTTCTAAGTGAGTATTTTTAGAGATCAATCAAGTGCCAGGTGGCATTCTTTATATACATTTGATTCCAGTTAGAATTAAATTTTATATTTTCTCTTTTATTAAAAAAGTAAGCATATTTGTAAAATTGTAGGAAATAACATTCAAAAGGCCTTTTTTACATTTAAAAGATTGAAATATAAATGATTTT